TCCCCATCTTCTAGCCCAGTGTTGAGGAACGTTTATTAGTCTTAGAGCCATATTCCCCCATGGGCAACATTCGGGGGGGGTGTATGCCTGTGGCAAACAGAGCCAAGGGCCAAAAGAGCAAAAGGTGTGGCTCCTAACCTTTCTGCAGCAGGCTGCATTCTAGCCAAATTCAAGCCACAGGTTTCCGTCCACACGTATACACACAAAATTCAGACAAGCAAGAGATATTATCACAGTTAACTCTCTTGTGGCATTTTTGTTGGCTAGTATGGTCCTGCTCTGAGGGATGCGGGTGGCGCTGTGGGTTAAACCACTGAGCCTAGGACTTGCCAGTCAGAAGGTCGGCGGTTCGAATCTCTGCGACGGAGTGAGCTCCCGTTGCTCGGTCCCTGCTCCTGCCAACCTAGCAGTTCGAAAGCACGCCAAAGTGCAAGTAGATAAATAGGTACCGTTCCGGCAGGAAGGTACAGTGGTGCCTCGCAAGACGAAATTAATTCGTTCCGCAAGTCTCTTCGTCTTGCGAGTTTTTCGTCTTGCGATGCACGGTTTCCCATAGGAATGCATTGAAAATCAATGCGTTCCTAGGGAAACCGCCTTCAGACCAGGTCCGGGGACAGTCTGTCCCCGGACCTCTTCTGAAGGCTGGGGGGGGACAAGGGCTTTTCTTCCCACCCCCAGCATTTTAAAAAACCCCGGGACAGCAGGGGACTTCTCCGCTGTCCGGGGCGATCTTAAAATGCTGGCGGGCGGCATTTTAAAATCGCCCCGGGACAGCGGAGGACTTCTCCGCTGTCCGGGGTGATTTAAAAGCCCCTGGGAAGGCAGGCAGGGGGGACAAAGACTTTTGCCCCCCACCAGCCTTCAGAAGAGGTCCAGGACCTCTTCTGAAGGCGGGCGGGGGGCGAAAGTCTTTGCTCCCCCCCGCCTGCCTTCAAAAGCCGTCTGGGACAGCGGAGAAACACGCTGTGTTTCTCCGCTCTCCCGGGAAGGCAGGCGGGGGGGAGCAAAGACTTTCGCCCCCCGCCCGCCTTCAGAAGGTGTTCCCGCCCCGCTGCCCAGCTTCGGAGCATCGTCCCGAAGCCGGGCGGCGGGGGCAGGTGTCGGAGCATCGTCCCGAAGCCGGGCGGCGGGGGCAGGTGTTCCCGCCCCGCCGCCCGGCTTCGGAGCATCGTCCCGAAGCCGGGCGGGGGGGGCAGGTGTTCCCGCCCCGCCGCCCGGCTTCGGAGCATCGTCTCGAAGCCGGGCGGGGGGGCAGGTGTTCCCGCCCCGCCGCCAGGCTTCGGAGGAGCCTTCCGAAGCCCGGCGGCGGCGGGAGGAGGTGTTCCCGCCCCGCCGCCAGGCTTCGGAGGAGGTCCGAGGACAGTGGGGAAGACGCGCTGCGCTTCCCCGCTGTCCCGGATATTTCCCTATGGGCTGTCGTCTTGCGAAGCAAGCCCATAGGGAAATTCGTCTTGCGAAGCGCCTCCAAAACGGAAAACCCTTTCGTCTAGCGGGTTTTCCGTCTTGCGAGGCGTTCGTCTTGCGAGGTACCACTGTAAATGGCGTTTCCGTGCACTGCTCTGGTTCGCCAGAAGTGGCTTAGTCATGCTGGCCACATGACCCGGAAGCTGTGCGCCGCAACCCCAGAGTCGGCCATGACTGGACCTAATGGTCAGGGGTCCCTTTACCTTTTTATGGTACTGCTCTAATACAGTTCTTGAGCACCCCAAAAACTGCTACCTCTGCTTTTTGTGCCAATAGTGACTCACTTTGCTTTATTAATTCTGCCCCGGGCTTTTCTTACTATATTTTTTTCATATCTCCCCTGAGCTTTTCCAAGTCTCTTCCCGCCCTCCTCTACCCACTTCATCATTACCAAAGCATGTTTTCGAATTTGCTTTTCGAGAAAAGTTCCAACTTTGAATTCCTGAGGGGATTTTTTTTATATATAAAGATGTGGCAGTGCTTTCTATGGTTGCCTTTCTGCTTGAGACTAGTGTGGTTGCTCTTCCAGAATTTGACTTGATGTTTATTTATTTTTATTATTATTTTGCAAAGATCCCTGTTCCCTTTTCAGCTGAGGTTGAAGTAGCTTTTCTACGCTCTTGAAAAACAACAACACGGCCTTATTGTTGGTTGAAAATCTCAACTGAACATTCATTAGTTGAGGTACTGTGAGCTGTTGATTTACCAAAGGAGGGATGTAAAAGTTGGCGACTGGATGATTGGAGGTGTGTGAGGTGTTTCTCTTCATGGTGGCTCAACATTTGAAGCAAGGGATGTTAATTTCCTTAGACTCAATTTGCTCATGGCTTCAAATTCTTGAGGATGAGGAGCGATTCCCTCCTTAAGCCCCTAGTAAACTTGAAAACTGAAAGAGGTAAATGCAGGAACAACCTGCATTTGTACAGAAATAGTGAAAATAAGGAGTGAAGCAGAAATAGATTTTTAAAAAACCCATATGCTGCTGGTGCATTTAAACAAAACAATCAATTATGATTGAAGATTATGTTTTGTTTTAGTTTGCTTGGCCTCAAATCCTCCATGTAGTTTCCCCCTTTTCCAGCCTTGTAAAAATGGGTCAGGTATTCAATTCCCCTTTCAGAAATGGGAAATTCTAGGCTGCTGTTTGGCCATGGATGATAAATGTGTTGAAAATGACCACATCGCTTCTTGCTAAAGCTGCAGAGCATTTTCTCGCTGCTCCATTTTCCTGCCCTTGCAAATTGAGGTGGATGAGCCTTCTTTACCCCGGAGGGAGGCAGAGTAGCCTGTATGGTTGAACCTAAAGATTAGATCAATGCTTTGCAAGCCTGAAGTTTTCTCATTTGCCAAACTGTTCTCTGCTGTGCAAAAGATAATTGCAATTAAATGAGGAAATGGTGCGCCTTTTTCTGTCATGATTAAGCATTCCTCATGCTCATAACTCGAATTTGGCATTGATTTACTAATTCTGGCTCATAGACTAGTGTCCTCCAAATTGCAAACCTTGAACAGAACAAATGCACCCCATGTATGTTGGGAACACCAATAGTGCACATATTTGCAAGAATAATTAATTATAAATATTTCTTGTAGCAAAGGTGCTTTTTCTAACAAAAGATTTTACAAGTGATCTCTAGCATCATCTAGTGGCAGCATTTGAAAACACAATAAAAACGAAAATGTGTACTGTGTTTTCTTTCTATAAGCAACTTTCTAACCATATGGCAAAATGTGAATACCGGTAGTTTTACTATTAAGCTCAGAAAAATGGATGAAACTGACTGGGGTTCCACTACTGCTTACCAAACTTATAGTGCGAAAATATTACTTGTGCTACATGCAAGCACTCCTGGGGTTTGTATCCCATGAGTTATAAATTCTTATTTTGCCACTAGACAGTAAAGGTTCCAAAAATTGCACCTCAATGGGGTAGAAACCCCAGGGATGCTCATGTGTTGTGTAGGTGTTAGCAGTACTACTCTCACTAGACGTTCATTGAGCAGTAGCGCAACCCCAAGATAAGGACGGTTAGCGAGCGAGCGCTGCGGCGATCTGGGCGGGTGGCCGGGAAACCTCCTGAGGTCATGGCGAGCGGGTGTGCGCGCGGCCGCAGCCAGCGCGTCGGCGCCCGCGTTGCTCGGATGTGGGGATGAGGCTTCCGCGGGGTCCCGGGTTCCGTATTGCAAAGCAAGCCGCTCTTGAGGCCGGTGTTTGAGATTGCGGACTGATACCCACAGTGCATTGCAGCGCTGCTCATTTGCATAGAGGGCTGCGAAAGCGACACCGGCGGGGCGGGGCGGGGGACGGAAAAAGCGCCCTTCGCTTCCGCTCGTGGCGAACAGCCGGCGACGCCTCTTGCAAAGGAGGACTTTTGCTGTTTTGCAGAGTTAGTGCAATCGCATCGTATGCTGAGAGTTTGGGGTTAATAAAATAAAATACTGCAGTCCACAAACATATTTCTTTGTCAAATCCCAGACGCATATTTACTTGGAGGTAGCAAAGCTAAATGGGCGTTTACTTGTAGATGCATAGGAGGAAAACACGCTGAACGCAGCCGGGACTTACTTTCGAGTAACACTGTGAAGGAATAGTCCGTAGATAAGTTTCCTTCTGCAAACACACAGAAGCCTCTGTGGAGGCTGCATGAAGGGTGCATGAATTTGATGGTTTTCTCAGTTAAGTCGAAGGTTCATTCCAACCCGAGCAGACTTCTTGCGAGGGCTGCCTTTATAGAGTGACTTTCCAGCAATGTGATTTAACAATGAACGGTAATGCCGAGAACTCACTTTTATAGGTTGTTTCATATATGCAACAGTTATTTGTTCTACCCTCTACTAACAGATGCTGTGTTAGAAAGAAGCCAGCATTGTCTCAATAAACTTCCTTCCCCCTGTTGAAACTGTTAGCAGCATGCTATGTCTACTTGGATGTAAGTCCCTTTGAGTCATGTGGGGCTTACTCCCAGGAAAGTGGGTGTGGGATGGCATTCTAAACAAGTATTTTGGTCTAGTACTTGCATTCTTTTTACTATTATATACACTTCTTAGCCACCTGTTAACCTCATCCTCTCTGTGACACACACCCAGTCAGTCACAAAATTAGAAACAAAATAACACATTAGATAGCGCATTAGATAAAAATACAAAACAACACAAAGACAAATGCAAGGCTCTACGAACACAGGCAGTAATATAGCTCCTTTAGTTACATAATAACATAATAACTACTGTCCATAGTTGTAACAAGTGCCTTATGTCAATTTTGCAGATGGTGAGCAGCAGTTAAGAAATGGTGGTCTGCCAAGACCACCTTGTGAATTTATTAATTTAAGGTGAACTTTTCAATTTAGGGAGGGAGAGGCAGACATTGCCCTACACCAGGCTAAAAATTCATGGCTGTTAATTTACTTACTACTTCGAAATGTTCAAAAGTAGTAGCGTGTAGCAATGCAGCAGCAGGGAGCCCTATTCCATTGTGCTTAACTCTCATGTTCAGTTTGCATGCTTTATGTTTACCTCTCTCTCTCTCTCTCTCAGGTTGTCCTGCTGGGCTTGGACATCTTATCTGCGCTGGTGTCACGGCTCCAAGATAGATTTAAAGCCCAAATTGGAACAGGTAAGGTCATTGGGACTAGCTGAGCCAAAAGATGTAGTATTTGATTGCATGCTATTCTGTACTATTCTGCTGATATTATTTTCCAGCGTGCAGTCCCTTTTCTTAAATTGTTGAAACTATGAAGAAATAGCAGTTTGCACCAACTGTGATTGTGAAGTCTGGGACTTGACTGTCTGCATGTATACACACCAGAGCATTTTCCTTTTGAACCGCAGCTATGTTGACAGGCTGTAAAGTGTTAACTGGAATCTAGATTCCAATTTATATATTTATTTCATAAAATTTATACACCCCTTGAATGTATAATAATAATATTACTAATAATAAAACCTCAAAGCAGTTTACAAAAAGATTAAAACAACAACATCAAGATTATTATTTTTGCAATACTTTAAAACATACAAAAGTTAAGATACTAAAACAGATTAAAATTCACAGTAGTATTTCTGAGCTGTTGCCTAAACAAGAATATTATTGGCAGGTGCCCAAAAAGTACAGTGAAGGCACTTGCTTGACAGGCAGGGAGTTCTAAGTGTAGGTGCTGCTACACTCAACAATAGAGTTCTTACCAATGCAGAATGGTTATTATGTGGCACTTATACTAGTGCCAATTCTGCCAATCAAAGCTGTCAGGTGGGTGTATATGGGTTTAGGCTTCCAAGTTGTTAAGGGCTTTGTAATAATTGTAATAATAACACCTTGAACCTGGACCAGTAGCAGATTGGCAAGCAATGCAGATCTCTGAGCACTGGTGTTATATTCTTTGCTCATTCTTTCTATAACATTTATTGTGTGCCATGGAGTTTAGAATCATTAGTTTGGTGATGTTCCTTTAGAAACTGCTTAAATTGGAAAGCCAATTGATCATTCTCCTGTTTCTAAGCTTATTTTCAGAACAAAAGGGACAAGAAGCTGGGTTTTCTTGTTGCGGGGGCATTAAATGAAAGCTGGATTCTCAGCTTCTAAATTCTGCACCCAGTGTTGCATGTGGAATTGTGGAAATGCACCCGGGTAACACTGACCCGCCGTCAGTGGAGCAGATTATAGACAGGGGCATAAGGCCTTGCAGTCTGTGTAAGACCTGCTTTGAACATGACATGGATCGGGGGGGAAGCACTTGCCCATGGCTGCTTCCCATGTGTATCTGGTTATATTTAAAGGAACTTGCTGGCCAATTCACAGGTTTACTTCAGCTGCTAATGTCTGATCATTATATGCAATGTGGCAAGTGCATGTCAATGTCACTGGGAAGTTGGGTAAAGTCACAGCATGCGCATCTATTGATGAGAATGGTGTGGTAGCCTTGTCATTAGCCTGTTATCCTTGGCAGGTGTCTGTTCCATTAATGCAAGTAGCTTGCCAGACCCACTATTTAAGACACCTTGAAATATGTGGGAAGGGTTGGGTTCTCATAGAATTATTCTGTACCTCCAGCTCTGTCTTTCCATACCCCTCCCTCCCCCCCCCCTAATCAGCCTTGCTTTTTGCCCTTAGTACTACCGAGTTTAATTGACAGACTGGGGGATTCGAAAGACTCGGTCCGAGAGCAGGATCAGGCACTGCTGCTAAAAATCATGGAGCAAGCTGCTAGCCCTCAGGTGAGTTCCTGGAAATATTCAACTTCAGTATACAAGTAAGCAACTCCCGAGAAAAGAATCCCTTTGAGGTTTTGGTTTATGATCATTTAGAAAACTCTGCTTTTCAAATAGGCTGAGTGCTACCTATCCATCATAGGCAGCATCCTGCAGACTGAATTGCAGTGGAATTGCAGTTGTGGTGGCAGCATTCTTGCTCGGCATCCAGGGGCAAAAGCTTTCAATGAACAGTCATGGCCTGCTGCTTCAGAAGTGCAATAATAAAGTTACTAGAGAGGGATTGGAATCCAGAATCTTCATAAAATCCGTATGCAGTTTAGGGAGTACAGTCATACCTCCAGTTGAATGTGCTTCGGGTTGAGCGCGTTCGAGTTGCACTCCGTGGTAACCCGGAAGTAACGAAGCGCATTGCTTCTGGGTTTCGTTGCTTGCGCATGCGCAGACGCTCAAAATGACATCATGCGCGGAAGCGGCAAAATGCAACCCACACATGCGCAGACACGCCGTCGCATCTTGCGTTCTGTTCCGGATGCTAACGGGGCTCTGGAATGGATCCCGTTCGCATCCCGAGGTACCACTGTACACCCAAACCTGTGAATTATTTTGAACCACCTACCTGCCTGTTTTGTTGTGAAAAGCCTTGAAATAAATACATTGGTGCAATGGATTCCTTCCCCAATTGCTTTCAGCTATATGTTAATCCTATATACACTCACCTGGAAGCAAATCCCATTAAAACAAATTTAAAACTGATTTTTATTTTACACTCAGTTGGGGGCTATAAATTCCAAATAGTTTTCCTGATTTGGGACCAAGAGGTTTCAAAACAGTTTTGTGGAAGCACCATGCAAAACAGGGGTGAATAAGTTCTGTGTAAACCATGTGTAAGAAATCAGGTACGATGTTTTTGGGAAAACGCTTGTTCCTCACAATTCACTCCTCAATGAAATTGTTTATAGAGGGCAGGTATATTGTATTCTAAATTTAATTACGTTTTGGCCCTCTATCATGTTCTGTTTGAACAACTGGCCATCTCTCTACTGAGGTAACACTTACTTCTGGAGTCTGTCAGCAGCAGCAGTGGTCACAGTTCGAGTATCCCATTTTAATTCCTTGGAAGGTTGATGGGGAGGAAAGACATGAATATTTACAGTAGTGTATTTTAAAATAATGGTCAATGCACATGTTTTAATGGAAAATAGCCTATTACAGAGAAACAGTGTACAGTGGTACCCCGCAAGACGAACGCCTCGCAAGACGGAAAACCCGCTAGACGAAAGGGTTTTCCGTTTTGGAGGCGCTTCGCAAAACGAATTTCCCTATGGGCTTGCTTCGCAAGACGAAAGCCCATAGGGAAATCTCCGGGGACCTCTTTTAAATGCTAGCGGTGGGGAGCAAAGCCTTTCCCCCCCCTCCGGCCTTCAGAAGAGGACCAGGAAGGCTGGCGGGGGCCGAAAGGCTTTGCTCCCCAGCGCCAGCATTTTAAAAGCAGTCCGGGATAGCAGGGAAGCGCTTCCCTCTATCCCGGACGGCTTTTGAAGGCAGGAGAGGTCCGCGAAGCCTGGGCGCGCTGATGTTAGCGCGCGCAGGCTTCGGCATGCCGGCAAGTCTCCGCCAGCAGCAGCAGCGTTGCCGCTGCTGGCGGAGCGGTCCGCGAAGCCTGAGCGCGCTGATGTCAGTGCGCGCAGGCTTCGGCATGCCGGCAAGTCTCCGCCAGCAGCGGCAACCCTGCCGCTGCTGGCGGAGCGGTCCGCGAAGCCTGGGCGCGCTGATGTTAGTGCGCGCAGGCTTCGGCATGCCGGCAAGTCTCCGCCAGCAGCGGCAACCCTGCCGCTGCTGGCGGAGCGGTCCGCGAAGCCTGGGCGCGCTGATGTTAGCGCGCGCAGGCTTCGGCATGCCGGCAAGTCTCCGCCAGCAGCAGCAGCGTTGCCGCTGCTGGCGGAGCGGTCCGCGAAGCCTGGGCGCGCTGATGTTAGTGCGCGCAGGCTTCGGCATGCCGGCAAGTCTCCGACAGCAGCAGCAGCGTTGCCGCTGCTGGCGGAGCGGTCCGCGAAGCCTGAGCGCGCTGATGTCAGTGCGCGCAGGCTTCGGCATGCCGGCAAGTCTCCGCCAGCAGCGGCAACCCTGCCGCTGCTGGCGGAGCGGTCCGCGAAGCCTGGGCGCGCTGATGTTAGCGCGCGCAGGCTTCGGCATGCCGGCAAGTCTCCGCCAGCAGCAGCAGCGTTGCCGCTGCTGGCGGAGCGGTCCGCGAAGCCTGGGCACGCTGATGTTAGCGCGCGCAGGCTTCGGCATGCCGGCAAGTCTCCGCCAGCAGCAGCAGCGTTGCCGCTGCTGGCGGAGCGGTCCGCGAAGCCTGAGCGCGCTGATGTCAGTGCGCGCAGGCTTCGGCATGCCGGCAAGTCTCCGCCAGCAGCGGCAACCCTGCCGCTGCTGGCGGAGCGGTCCGCGAAGCCTGGGCGCGCTGATGTTAGCGCGCGCAGGCTTCGGCATGCCGGCAAGTCTCCGCCAGCAGCGGCAACCCTGCCGCTGCTGGCGGAGCGGTCCGCGAAGCCTGGGCGCGCTGATGTTAGCGCGCGCAGGCTTCGGCATGCCGGCAAGTCTCCGCCAGCAGCAGCAGCGTTGCCGCTGCTGGCGGAGCGGTCCGCGAAGCCTGGGCGCGCTGATGTTAGTGCGCGCAGGCTTCGGCATGCCGGCAAGTCTCCGACAGCAGCAGCAGCGTTGCCGCTGCTGGCGGAGCGGTCCGCGAAGCCTGAGCGCGCTGATGTCAGTGCGCGCAGGCTTCGGCATGCCGGCAAGTCTCCGCCAGCAGCGGCAACCCTGCCGCTGCTGGCGGAGCGGTCCGCGAAGCCTGGGCACGCTGATGTTAGCGCGCGCAGGCTTCGGCATGCCGGCAAGTCTCCGCCAGCAGCAGCAGCGTTGCCGCTGCTGGCGGAGCGGTCCGCGAAGCCTGAGCGCGCTGATGTCAGTGCGCGCAGGCTTCGGCATGCCGGCAAGTCTCCGCCAGCAGCGGCAACCCTGCCGCTGCTGGCGGAGCGGTCCGCGAAGCCTGGGCGCGCTGATGTTAGCGCGCGCAGGCTTCGGCATGCTGGCAGAGGTCCGCGAAGCTTTGGCCGGACAGCTTTTGAAGGCAGGCGGGGGGAGCAAAGACGTTCGCCCCCGCCAGCCTTCAGAAGAGGTCCTGGACCTCTTCTGAAGGCTGGCGGGGGGCAAAAGTCTTTGTCCCCCCTGCCTGCCTTCCCAGGGGCTTTTAAATCGCCCCGGACAGCGGAGAAGTCCTCCGCTGTCCCGGGGCGATTTTAAAATGCCGCCCGCCAGCATTTTAAGATCGCCCCGGACAGCGGAGAAGCCCTCCGCTGTCCCGGGGTTTTTTAAAATGCTGGGGGTGGGAAGAAAAGCCCTTGCCCCCCCCAGCCTTCAGAAGAGGTCGGGGGACAGACTGTCCCCGGACCTGGTCTGAAGTCGGTTTCCCTAGGAACGCATTAATTGATTTTCAATGCATTCCTATGGGAAACCGTGCATCGCAAGACGAAAAACTCGCAAGAAGAAAAAACTTGCGGAACGAATTAATTTCGTCTTGCGAGGCACCACTGTACACAAAGTAGATACATACAAAGACATTCATCTCCATACTTTGAGAAGACAAATATTTAGCATTTAATGGAGCACACCAGTCTCACTTTAAGGCCCCCTTCACTTGTTACATGTGTGCAGCACAGCTTAGATCTCTGGGGAGATTCCCCTGCGCATAAGCAATCTCTCACAGTTTTTGATGCTCAGATATCAGGGGACTTGCCCTGTGGTGAGTGGAGCAGCTGCATAGCCCCATTCTGTACCCCTTGCAGAGACAACCCCGCTTTGTGTTTGAAACCCTTGAAAGTAGATGAGAGCTGTTAAACACATAAATACAATTTTTGGAGACAGCATTATCGCTCAGAGTTCAACGGATGCGTCACTCTTAAATGACCTACTAGAGCTGTCATCGCTGATGCATCAGTGTTAAATTGGTGGGGAGTACAAAAATCAGTTTTAGGTTTGTTCCAGTAGATGCATCCTGTTTGAAACAAACAAAACACTAGCAGTTCTTTTGGCATGGAAAGCTATTCTCTATTTAAACCAACTAAGAGAAAGTGGTTACCAGACAACTGAGTGTTCCTGTTTACCTAATCTACCTAAAGGGCTGTACTCACTGCATTTGAAATGCTTATTTTATGGGCAGCCAAATGAGTCCTAGTCCTAATTGTCTTAACATACATTCAGCTCCCCTTTTGTGGGTAGATGTTCAGGATAGGACTTTCTGGAGAATCACTGTGTGGTGGTTTTGCGTAGTTAGCTTCCTAAGGCAGTATGAGAAGGGGCTACTCGCCCAATAAAAAGGAGTTATTAGAAAAACAAAAATCAACAGTTGACTAGTCCCACTCCCATCAATGCCTGCTCAGATGCATGTGAGTAGCAGCCCACACAACCCCCTGACACTCTTCCTCGGACTTTACAAGACTCAGAATCACAAAACGAAAAACTGCAGCCTGTCTAGGTTAATCTTTCTCTTACTTTCTTGTCTCTCTGTGGCAGTATGTATGGGACAGGATTTTGGGAGGATTCAAACACAAGAATTTCCGGACTAGAGAAGGAATTTGCCTCTGCCTTATTGCAACACTCAATGCGTAAGTTGTAGCATATTTTGCTGCCATGGGCTACTTTGGGAGAAAGGGCAAGATATTATTGTTGTTGTTATTATCATTATCATTATTATTTATACCCCGCCCATCTGGCTGGGTTTCCCCAATTCACAATTTAATAATAATAAATAATAACAACAATATCCACATTCAAAATCAATTCAAAATACTTAGCACATCTTTTGTTCTCTCCCTCCCCCTTCTCTTTGTGTCTTTAGATCTGGAGCTCAGAGTTTAACACTGAGCAAGATTGTGCCACATATATGTAATTTACTTGGAGATCCAAACAGCCAGGTGAGTCTGCAATGAAACAAATTTGAGTAAATATATTCCCCCAGGAGAAAAAATGACTGTGGTGGATGGAGAAGATTTTCTTTTTATTTAATTTTTTTTTCAGATACAGCCTTTAAATTGCATGCAATAAATTTGTCCAAGAAATGCTTGTGGTTGGCAGGTGTGTGGAATTGCAAGCTTTGAGATTTCTCATTCATTGATCTTGGAGCATGATGTCTACCCCTGTGCTGAAGTTGTTGTGCCAGTCTTGAACATGCTTATATAAATGAATATCTAATTGCCTTCAATGAGGGTTTGGTTTCATTTCTGCATGTGGTGTAATTTTGGCTTACGAATGGTGCATTTTGGGAGAAACTGCAGCTTCCTAATGTTTCTGCAGTGCCATAAAACTGGCTGCATATAGTTTTATGGGGCAGTGGGAGAGATCTCAGTAGTGAGAGACAAGGGGACCATGATGTTACTAAGATAAATAATGGAACTTCATGCCAGGGACAGAATTGTGGAGTTTACTCAGTAATCAAGCCTCTAAAATGAACTCACTCAGTGTACTATCTGCCTCCATATTCAGATGAGGTAGGTATAATTTTTGTCAACATGTATGGGAAGGATTTGAGTTGTTATGCTATAATAGGGTTGCCATATTTCAAACAGTGAAAATCCGGACAGAAAGGTTATTGAGACTCCCCCCCCCCCCCGGCCAACTCTTGCCCATAGAAGTGGCATAGTTCAGAGGTCTATGAATAGTTTAAAAATTGGCAGTGCTATTTTTCTGCCTCTGACAGAGGCAGCAGGGCAGATGGGGCACCTGTGGGAGCTTCTGCCGCCTGAGGCAGTGGCCTCACCCTGCCCAATGGCTGGACCAGTTCTGCTAATAGTGCTCCCCCAGATGATCTCAGTGATTGGCTTGGGTCATATCTGGTCCTTAAGGTATCCTGGGCCTAAGTTGTTCAGGGTTTTGTACAGTAGTAAAAGAATATTAAACCTGACATGGTAGCATATGGAAAGCTCATTATACTTGAGATAATGATAACTTCAGGAATCGGTACCTGAATTTGCTAGGTTTTCTCTTCCCTTCCCATTCACTTTTCTTTTGCTGTCAGGAGCTATCCTATTTTTTAAAAAGAAATCTTTATACAGCACTTAGAAGTTAAAAGGGAAAAACACAACAACTACTAACAACAAACACAATAATTAGGCATATATCCACGCTTTCACACCTACTAGCTAGTGGACAGATGGTCACCAATGTTCCCCTCCTTTTCTGGCTCTAACGGAAGTGTATCTGAAACACGAGTTTCCTTGTTACCTCTCCTCTCACCGCTTCTGTGCCTGAATCCTAAGTTGTACCCTTAGGCTAATAGCAGTTCCCTAGAAATGATCTTATTACTTTCCTGCTACTGCCATATGAGAGCCATTTAGGTTGTGTATTTCCGGAAATAAACCACTTGGCTGAAATTAAATCAGTGTTGTACCAATTAAATACATAAGCACTTCTTTGAGCAAGGTTTACAGCTGGCCTTTGCCAAGGGGGTTGGACTCAGTATCTTATCAGATCATAATCCATCACTTGCTGCCTGTTCTTGTTGTAGAGTTATAGCATCAAAGCTGCAGAGAATGGAATTTGCATCAGTATTGACCTCTGATGGTTGAAACAATTAAAATAGAAGGGGACCTTGATTTTCAATTGGTTCACTTTTGAGTTAAAGTTGCACTATGTTCCATGAAGGGCTTCTAATCAAGAAATTCAGGCGAAAAGTAGCCTTGGGTGTACTGAGTGGTTTCTTTGGATCCTGGCTATAGCATTTTATAAAACCCTTGCTTTGTATCTGACACTGGCTATATTTAAAAGGCGACAAATTTAAATGGCCGGCCTTCTATTTTTAACTGCAGATAGTCTATTTTTAGCTAGATAGCACTTAAAAAAATGCTGTGGAGTCACTCCATGAAATATAACATGATTTTAATGACTGCTCTGGTCGTAAATTACATAGGGAGGAAATGAGAAGCACTGCAGAATTTCTCTTTAGTTCAGTTCAGCATCATTACACAAGTCGCTGTTTCAAAACTTGGCCTCCTTGGACTTGAAACATCATTGCTTTTTTAGAATAGCTTTCTAGAAGATCTTATTTTTCCCTCTCTCCAGACTGTTTCACTTGCATCTTGTTGTGTTTTCTGTTCAGCCCAGCGGCAAAAGCTTCTTTTTATCCTTGCTTGTAATGGGAAAGAGATTTTCTTCAACTCCATAAAATACTCTGTGCTGCTGCTGCTCAGGAAATGGACTCTACTGTGCTGTTAAAGGCACAGGATGGATGGTTAGGAAGGTGAATCAGGGGAAGAGATGTAAATTTGTATTCTTAATTTATAAACAAATCAGCCGAAACCTATATGCTCTATCATTTTTCCTTTTTTTTTTTTACTGGTCCAGTCAAAGGATGGTTATTATATGTTAGATATGGGCTTAAAGCAGTTAGGCAGCAACTCTGAGGGTGCGGTTTTATATGTCGTTGAAGTTTTCCCCAATTGATTCATTAGACTCCTTTTTTAGCCATTAGTCCAGCTGTTGGGTAGAATTCAGAAAGTGTTGATTAGATCCACTGACATCAGTAATTGGATTTAGTTGTTGTGATGGATGACAATGTTATTTATATTAGCTGGCTATGCCTTGATCCAAGAGCACCTAATATAATACTTCATAGATAATCCTGGTGAAGTTATGGAAGTGTGGGCCGGACTAGGAGTTGCCTGGGAGTCTCATATAAGCCGCTTCTCTCAAAAGAAGACTTAGATGTAATTAACAAACAGTAAAAATCCTTTACGTTTGTTTTCAGTTCTCTTTAGTGGAGTTTAATATAAACGTAGTGTGTTGATTAACAGGGGGGAAATCCCCACACACTTGCATAAGAATATAAGATGCAGCATTCTGACGCCACAGATACCTACGAGAACCCCTCAAGCAGGATATGAGCGCAATACCACAAAGTCATGTTCCTCAGCAACTGATACTTGGAGGCATGCTGACTTTGATATTAGAGGTAGTATATAGCCATCATATGGGACGCGGGTGGCGCTGTGGGTTAAAGCCTCAGCGCCTAGGACTTGCCGATCGAAAGGTTGGCGGTTCGAATCCCCGCGGCGGGGTGCGCTCCCGCTGCTCGGTCCCAGCGCCTGCCAACCTAGCAGTTCGAAGGCACCTTCGGGTGCAAGTAGATAAATAGGGACCGCTTACTGGCGGGAAGGTAAACGGCATTCCGTGTGCTGCGCTGGCTCGCCAGATGCAGCTTCGTCACGCTGGCCACGAGACCCGGAAGTGTCTGCGGACAGCGCTGGCTCCCGGCCTATAGAGTGAGATGAGCGCACAACCCTAGAGTCTGTCAAGACTGGCCCGTACGGGCAGGGGTACCTTTACCTTTTACTATAGCCATCATGGCTAGGAACTGGCCTCCATAAACATATTTGGAGAAAGATGAAAGAGAGTAAAGTCAACCAAGCACCGCATGTACTTGCTAATGATGCAGAGAGGAAACTCTGGCACCCCTGGCTTTTAGAAATGTGGATGTTTAACGGTCACTTGCCTCAGAGTCTGGAACGATGTAACTCTTTTTCCAGTACAGGACAGATATGGTCCCTTCCTGGGTGATCTCCAGTGGTCTTCAAAATGGTGTTTCTCCCCAGTTATCATGGGACACCAAAAGGACTATAGTCTCTTTACCTTCAGAGCTGCCTTTCTGCTCTGGGGCGACTTGATTTGCTGTTTGTTTGAAGAGTTAGAAGAGTGCCTCACAAAAGACGGAGAGGTTCATGTCCTCTCGCCGTCAGAAGTTGGTGGAATGCTTATGGCCAGTTGTAGGAGTCCAAGTTCCAGAACTCTGCCGGTGAGCAGTTGTACTCTTAGGCAGTGGCAGTTGAAAAGGCATAGGTGAGTTATTTGGGCAGAGGGGAGGGTCCACAATCTGCCTCCAGGTTCACTCCCTGAATCTCTGGGCTGGCCAAGAGGCAGAGTCTTCTTTCTCCATGGTCTTCCAACACAGTGCTTCTCCTTTACCCGTTGTTGCCATGGGGATAGGGAGATCCCTGAGCCATGCTTGGTCAGGGGGGGTAGAAGAGGAGCAATGTAGAAGAGCTGGCATGGGGGTAGGAGGGAAATATAGCTGGTGGGATGGATGTGGATTCGGCCTAGAGGGAGCAAGGAAGAATGGAGGATTGGTTTTTGAAATGCAATTTGCTGTGGAAAGGAAGGCTAGAGAAGGAGAGGTTAGATCTAGCAACACAATTTTTTCTTAACATTTTGTGTGCATAATTCCCTGATTCATTTTGGATCTTAATCTGATCCTAAGATAGGGCTGTTCCTTTGAATGAGTGTTCAGGCCTTTGAAAGAGTGTTCAGTGCTGGCCAAAAGCAAGCAGCCGTGTCAGTTTGTTACAACAAAATTAACATAAAATGAGCCTTTTTATTAAAAGCAACTGCTGCTCGCCGTGTGTCATACAAGCTTTCAAGTGGCACCAAACTCTTCCTCGAGCTGAAAATACTCGAGAACATCTTTTAAATGGATGGAGGGTGGGAATACATGCTTCATCATCAGAACTTGAACCTGCTGAATATGAGACCTAAAATACACCAGGATGGGATTTAAACTGGTATGCCACACCAGTGCCCTCTTGATTTCAGGAAGAAAACCAGCTTCAGGGAGACCAGCAAGGAAGCCTTTTTAAACCAGTGGTTCAGAATATAACTGATTGGTCTATGTACCAGTTTGCTCACTAGTCTTTGTAAACTGCTACTGTTCCCTGTGATAGATTACTTTTGCTTCTGACTTGCTTGGCCTTAATCCCACTCCAAATTTAAATGAATTGAGCCCTGGTGATTCTTCCTCCGTCTGCAAGAGGTTATGAGTTTGATCTACCTGTAAGATTGAGAAGGATGCCAGCCAACCAAAGGATTGAGAAACTCCGTATTTTTTCTCTAGTGTGAGCCTTTAGGAGACTATCTAAAGGGGGGGGGGGCTATGACACCAGTGGCTCTCCGTTTGCTGTTGAATTGCAAGTCCCATCATCCCTGACCATTAGCTGTGTTGGATGAAGCTAATGACAGAATCTATCAACCTCTGGAGGGCCATAGGCTCTCGAACCCTGATCTTGCCATAATATGACTTTAGCAGCTTGTGCATCAGGCTCTGGGTGAACGTACCAGGTTGTGTTGGCATCTGTGTTGGTGACCAGGTAAAATACATCAGGATGCTATCATATGGAAAAAAAAATGTGTTCCTGTTTATATGACTCAGCTGCCACAGTGGTGGCCTATTTTCTACAAGATTGCTTCCCTCGGGAAGTTCAGAGGGGTTTGTTTTCATAACTGTGTGAAAAGCTTTTGTTCTAAAAAATCCGAGGTCAAAATTAGACATGGCCGTGGTCTCTGCTGCTCTTTTTTCCTTATGGATTAGTCATATTATTTCCCTGCTTTTCTGGCAGCAGCCAGTGACATGGAATAGGTGCAGAGGAATGAAGCAGGTAAGTCTGAGTGAACATTATTGGGGGAAAGGGGGCAAATTTGACATGAGTCAGGTGCGTCCCTATATGTAATTTTGCCTAGACCTGGACAGCAATATTGACAGTTATATAACAGTATTGTTACTTTATGGATTTATCTAATTGCATATGTAAAACTTTCCCCCTATTCTTTTCTTGGATCTTTAGGTTCGCGATGCAGCAATAAATAGCCTAGTAGAAATCTACAGACATGTAGGTGAACGTGTAAGGGCTGATCTCAGCAAAAAAGGATTGCCACAGTCTCGGTGAGTGAAGAGTTTCTGGTTTTGATGTTCTTATTTTCCAGCGCTCTTCCGTTTCTTCTGCTGCTAAACTCTCAGCATCCTTTGCTTCTCATCTGCTGAGTGTTATAACTGGTTGGACCCGATCCCTAGTGTTCAAAAGCCTTGAGCAAATCGGAAAGATTGTAGTTTGAGAATGATGTTGTTTTGTTCAGTTGACTATAATTTGCACATTACTTGTTTTGTCTGGTAGTCTGACAGTCAGGATGAATAAAGAAAATCTCAGAATTATGGTGTGGACTTGAAAATTGTGAGATTTGAAAAGTTAGCATCTTTGGGAACGTTGTCAGCTGTGCTTAACTATAAGGATTGCACACCTGCTGTTTTAATAAATGAGAAAGCTAAGATTGTAGAATGTACTGAACTTTTTCTGGAATAATGTAATTCACAGCTTGTGTGCACTTCTGAGGTGTACCCTTTTTTCTTGTTCATTTAACACCTATATCTGACTAATGAAGGAAGAGTTTTTTCTTTCTTTCATTAAAATTAGCGGCACAAATATACTTTGGTTGATATCAGTGAACCTTTGCCAAAGTCTGCATTCTCAGTTGGAAGATTTGCAATGTTGATTGTTCAGGTGTTTTATCTTCTCTCTTGCAAACCAGGTTGAACATCATTTTTACAAAATTCGATGAGGTCCAGAAATCAGGAACCATGATCCAGGGATCAGGTGGTGAGTAGAAATATTGCTTTTGCTTTCTTATAAGATGAAATCAGTGGTTTAGAAAAATTGTAGCCTTTATCCAAACTTCAATAAGTTGTGGTTAAGACCAGTTTGAAATTATGAATAACAAGTAAATGGGTTTGTGTTTTTATTTTGTGATTGATGTAGCCTATTTTTTTATTGCCATTAAAAACAAAGCATGCGAGTTGCTTTCCGAACTACTGAAAAGGAAGATGGTGTATTTAAAAAAGCATCACGTTGGTTAGGCTGGGGCCAAAGGGGTTTTGAACAGAAGCCTGAGTGAATTTTCATTCTGAGATTAATAGCTCTATATGAAAGCAACAAGACACTTTGTGTTAGCATTCATATACTGTATATTCCTATTTTGCGGCTGAAAGTTCTGCAGCTGTAAAGTTATCGATTCAATATTCTTTTTATTTCATGTGTTGTTGTAGCTTTCAGCCAGCCTGGCATAGTAACAGAGCTTGTTCTTTCAGTATCATATTATGAGGGGATGTGGTCAAATTCTAAAGTGAACACTGGAGAAGCTATGTTGCTAGCAGTCCATTGCTTTCGCCTGAGAGGAAGCTGGACATTGTTCAGAGGTCATCATACGGCTATGTCTGGAGTAGATCTTCCCAGCTTGTGCCTGTTTTCGGTGTAAAATGCAAACAAGCATTATATTGTACATAGTGTTGGTGTCTGATGTAGTCTTTGAATGTCAGTAGATTAGTGTGTGATTTAACAATTAGTTTTTTGGGCAGCTGTCTGTGTGGGTTGACAGTAACCAGCATCAAATAGAGTTTAATGCAGTCATTTGTGAAGTCCTTAGCTCCAATAATTTTATGTTAAAAACAGAAATATTGCATGCCTTCTAATAAATAGACCAGGTGTTCCTCAGATTTTGGGACCTTAATCTTTCATTTTCTCATATTTGCTGCTGATATTTGCCACAGTTTGTGCTGAGACGCTTTACTTCGCTGTAACATTGAGAATGCAAGTAGCTTTCATCGAACAGGATCTTCTGAACCTCTTTACACCAAGCAGCAAATAGGTTGTTGTGGTTGTTTTGCTTAATGAAGAAATATATTTGCCATCAAACACAATTTTTGGGTTTGAAGGGTCAGCTTCAGACTTTTACACTTCCATGACTACTATAAGTAAGCTTAAGATCACAGCTGTTTTATACTTGAGGCACCCACAGAGTTTGATGCCTTCCACTTTTCCAGAAGCAGGTTCTTTAATTGTAGAGGGAATATGAAGTAGTCAAGATTCCATTGTTATATTTTGGAATGTATTTATCCTCATTCTCTTACATCCCCATTAGAATAATGGTCCAATTAGCTTGATTTACTTTGGAGGCTTATGAATTCATGGGGGTTCAGAACTCAATGGGAGATTATCTGGTGTCTTTGAAGGTCACCTTGGTGAAGAGGTAGCTAACTTGAGAAACAGTAGCTTTCCTTGGACCATCAGTGCAGGTGAATACAGGTGTTTATCCCCTCTGCAGTAGATCATGATGCCCTGGTTTACAAAGAACATGAAGGGTATATGTTTGGTGGCATTACTCCACTCAGATGAAACCGACTGACTTCAGAAGATGTCATTGTAACATGGTGATAGCTCCTTTTGTTCCCTTTGGTGCCCATTGAATTGAATCAGATTTATATTGGATCAGTACTTAGTCAATTATGTACGAATCTCCTCAGGGGGAAAAGTAGCCGTTCTCCCCTTTGCAAAGTTATATCAAAATCTGAACAGAAAGGCAGTGATATGCGGGCTTGTTCCTTATCACTGTTTTTTTTCCCAGCAGCAACATCCAACAGAGTATCTAGATCCAAAATCCCAACATAGGTTAAAATTTTTCCAGAAACAGTACTTGAAAGAAAAATTAAAGCAATGGGCATCAAGTAGCTCCTGGTGTGATGTTACTAGCACCAGAGAGTTTAGAATTTGGTAACTGTATAGACTTAGAAATGCTGTTTTCACTGAACAGAAGCTTAATTTTGATCATTGCACCTCTAATATGAAGCTTGCATCCTGGTTTTGTATAAGTAACTATTTTGCTGAGAGAGAGATGGATGTTATATAAACACATCCCAAGTTCTTGGAACTCACCAATACAGTGGTACCTCGGGTTACATATGCTTCAGGTTACAGACTCCGCTAACCCAGAAATAGTACCTCGGGTTAAGAACTTTGCTTCAGGATGAGAACAGAAATCATGCCCCGGTGGCGCAGCAGCAGCAGGAGATCCCATTAGCTAAAATGGTGCTTCAGGTTAAGAACAGTTTCAGGTTAAGAACGGACCTCCGGAACGAATTAAGTACTTAACCCAAGGTACCACTGTAATGGAGAATTTGCACCCCCCCCCCCGGGAATGATGTTGGACTGTAACTCCCATCATTCCCGTCCATTGGCTATTCTGGGTCTGGCTGATGGGAGTTGGGAGTCCAACAACACTCAAGAGTGCCACAGCTTTCCCACCCCACAAACAAATGACTCGACCATTCTTTAAATATGAGAGGTTTTTTCCCTCCCTCCTTCATTCAAGTCCATCAGCATTTTCCTTAAATAGATCTTAAGAAATGCCAGCATTAAGTTCCTTATCCACGGGGGCTTTGTTTTTAAGCTTTAATAGTATTATGAATAAAATGCCAGTTGGTGGGGGTAAATTGCAACTTGAAGTGGGCTTTACTTTATATAAGAGGAAGGAGGATTTCATCTTGTGGATATGCTGTTGGTTGCTAAGTTACGAGGAGGTCTTTTCAGTCCTTCGTAGCCAGAAAATGGAGCAAAGCGGCACATTGGATTTCTCAGTGGTTCTTAGCACTGTGCATATTTGTGTGAGTGTGTCTCTTGTTTTACCTATAATTAATCAGTCTCTGGATGCAGAAATTGAAAGTTCTTCCTTCACCTCAGGGTTTCAAAATTCCAGGCATGCCCATTCCTGTGATATAGTGTGTGGATCTTTAATTAAATATAAGATGCAGGAAGGAGTGTCTTTGGTTATAAATTACTCCATAGAACCAGTCCCTTTCCATGTGAATATAGTTTTAAGGTTGCTGATTCCCAGTCCAGTGAAAATGAAGCACAGAGCAGACACTTTCTATTGGACTTGATGGTGGTGATGATGTTTATGTTCCCAGCTTTAGTTGTTAGTTGTTCTCTGTGTGTTAGCTTTGTGGTTTTGACTCATAATTCAGTTGTGGCAACTTATTTATCATTTTCTCTAGTGCCCCACAAGGCAGCACTCCCATTAGGTGTGTGAGGTAGAAGTTAATAGCAGGACATTTGAAATGCGGTATAATTCATGCTCCTTTAATCAAGAAAGCAGCTGTTCAATGCCAAAGCCAGATCAAATAAGTTGACTTCACTATCCAGAGCTGCAGTTCCAACATAGCGAGAAACAGGGATGATGGAGGTACATTCTTACTTTCAATTTGATGCTGCAACTTCCCCTTTCCAATTAAAAAGAGGCATTTCACCAGTTTCTCCCATTATGTCTAAACCAGGAAACTGAGCTTTGTTTGTTATGCTGATGTGCTGAGTGATGTGCAGAGGCCACATCTGCACTGTAACATTTAAAGTAGCACCATACCATTTTAAACAGTAATGGTTTCCCCCAAAGAATCATAGGAAACATAGTTTAAGGGTCCTGAGCAGGCATAGGCAAACTCTGCTTTCCAGATGTTTTAGACTACAATTCCCATCATCCCTGACCACTGGGCCTGTTAGCTAGGGATGATGGGAGTTGTAGTCCCAAAACAGCTGGAGAGCCAAGTTTGCCTATGCCTGATCGTGAGAGTTGTTTGGAGACCACTATTCTCTTCACAGAGCTATAATTCCCAGGGTTCCCTGGGGAAGAGAGTTTGCTTGTTAAACCACTCTGGGAATTGTAGCGTGATACAGCTTTGGAATTACAGTGCAGATGTGGCCACAGTCCTCCTGGTTCAGATTTAACAAGGAACTCTGGCTTACTGCAAACCAGGAATGGAGCAGCAAAGATGGTACGCAACAGGAAGAAATAGCTTGAGGGGACTGGTAAGGGAGGAGGGCTCTGCCCAAATGGCTGTTCCTGGTTTATGAAGCCGGGAATGATAATCAGAACCAGGCCCATTAGAAATTTCAGCATAGGTGGCACATCAAAGGCCATACTCAGGAATGGGATGGAGTGCCTAAGGTGAGACAAAGAGAGTTTGCTTGCTTGCTTGCCTGTACTGACTCTCTTGCAATGTGGAGCTAAGGGAGTTCCTGTGTCGTACAGCCCACTCAACACAAAACACCAGAGACATAAAGCAGGAAGTTAATGCCTGGAAGTCCCACCTTCCCCTTTTGGTACAGTTTGGACTAGGCATAGGCAAACTTGGCCCTCCAGATGTTTTGGGACTACAACTCCCATCATCCCTAGCTAACAGGACCACTGGTCAGGGATGATGGCAATTGTAGTCTCAAAACATCTGGAGGGCCAAGTTTGCGTATGCCTGGTTTGGACTGTGGTGACTGCAAAACTGTCCTGATTAAAACTCCATTGCAATGTCACCAAACCTCCATTGCAGCACCCAACTTTCTGGAAACCGAGCCCCTCCCTCCTGCATAACTTCCAATACATCAGCAGCGGGTATAACTGAAAAGGTGACTGTGGTTGTTTTGTATCTGTTAAAGCAAGCTGCTTATAAACTCAGAACTAGAAAACAAAATTGGATACTTTTAATTTTCTTGTAACAGGGCCTTTATGTAACGGGCAAAAATGTTTTGGTTAGGCAGAGAGGTGTGTAGGTGTGTCTCTGTTCTGGATCTTGCCATGGAATTTATGGGATACTTATTTGGACTTCTGAAAAAAAGCAAATACTAAAATATGCATAACTTAACACTTTTATTGAAAGATGCCTATTTTTTGGGGACGACGACGACCCATACTCAGTTGCAGAACTGTGTCTGGTTGTTGTTTTTTAATACAGGATTACAATTCCTGAAGGCATTAGTGGCTTCCCTTTGAGTTAAAATTT